ATATATATATATATAAATTTTTGCTTTTTGTCTCCTGAGGAAGGTGAATAGAAAATTAAATAGTATTGCTGCTTCATCCGTTTTTATTGGGACAGAAGAAGAACGTGCTAGTTAAAGTAGTAGCGGTAGTATTCTTGCCGACATGTTGCTGTTTGAAAAGGGAAATTTCCTTAACCATGAGCACCACAAATGCTACTCCATTCAGCTCTGCTGCATTGGGCTTTTGGCCCCCAGCCAGTTGATAATTGATTGCCACCTTTTGGTTGTCACAGGTACTCCCTGCTTAGGAAAGTTCTCACCACTTCACATCAATCCATAATGTGACGCTCCTGTATTAAAGCAGGATTTAAGTCTCCTTGGCTATGATTTAAACCTGTAACTATTCTGAAGAAAGGTCATAAAAGGCTTTAAACCCATAAACCCAGCGTCAGCTTGTGCAATCATAAACCTGCTCATTTCAGCAGGCGTAATAAACGTTACTATTCAATTTGGCCTGTTTGTTAATGATTATTTTTCACGCTAGTATGTTTTGGTCATAGTGATATTATTTAACATAATTATCATTGTACAACTCTATTGTCTACCTTAAAAAAATACATGTTTGTGGGTGAGATGATTGTAGATATAAAGGTCAACCACAAGACATTGTGGCAATCCATATCTTTTGAATAATTTCAAAAATTATCTTCAAACACAGTAGACTAAAATAAAAAACAAACGTGTAGACTAAATTTAGAAATAGCAATCATGAACTAATTGTGATATAATTTCAATTATAGCATTTGGTTTTGAATCCCTGCGGCAACTCGTACAGCTGTGAACGTTACACATTATTAAAAAAATATTTTTAAGAACTCTGAAAGATATTACACTTTAAATATACTAAATTCTGCATTACTATTAAAATGTATTCACCTGACATGGTGATATCTCAGTGTTGTATCTTCCAAACACGTCAAGTCAGGAACTCTTTTTTTGATTTTTTTATTGATGTGATCCCTTTAGATGTTCAGAGATAAACTAACTGTCTTAAAGTCAGCAGTCTTATAATGAGGAGCACAGTAGAAAAGCAGATTTCACTTCCTGTACGTCCTCAAGTGAGATCTTTATCAGGAGTCTGCTTAAAATCTAGACAGCTAGATAATACTTCAAAGTGCAAGACAGCTTTTGGTGACCCAAATTCACACCTTCACAAGATGACTGCTAGTTTTTAGCGCGTCACAATGCTTATTATTATTATCATTTCTTTCTTTATTTGTTCCTTCATCTTCTTGATTCCATTGTTATACATTACCGCTGTATATCTCAGGACACTTTAGTAAAGACACCTTGTTATCACTGGACTGAGTTTTGCTTTCAGAACTACTTCAATACAACATGGCATAGATTCAACAAGCTGCTGGTTCATATTGATGATGATAGCTTGCCTCTGGCATCAAAAGCACATTTTTCACCCAGAGAGCTGCCACTCAATTGTTTTGTTTCTTCTGTAAACCTCACTGATGGCAGATATAGATAACAACAGAAATGAAGATAAAAATAGAGATACTGTTTGTGATAGAGACGTAGATAAGATAGGGACAGAGATAGAGTTAGTGATAGCAAAGGAGATAAAGACTTAGTGATAGAGATATAAACTGCAAGTTAGACACTGAGGCTTTTGGCGATGAGGGGGCTCTACCTTGCAGCAGTTGGGTGGTTGTGTCACATCTGCCCAGAGGTGGGAAAGTACAGACATTCTCTACTTGGGTAGAAGTACAGACACTAGTGTTGAAAAATACTCCAGTAGAAGTTGAAGTAGTGAAAAAGTACAGTCACTGAAATGAAGAAAGTAAAAAGTTGCTCTCTGGATGATGTTTCTGCCAGCTGTTTTTGTGCAATGCTACCTGAACCTTGTTCTATATTAATGTAATAATAAAATAATATTGAGATCACAAACTTTACTTCTGTTTAAAACTAAATTTTAATGAATGCACTCAGTTTGAATCAGAAAATGAGCAAAGAAAAAGAAGAAAATTAAAAAGAATTTCTGTTGCCCACATTGTAGAGGGAAGCCTTACCCAATATCTGATCTTTAATGTAATCTTTAAATTTCTAGTTCACAAACAAGACTGAGCAGTCCCTATATAACCTCTCTTCTTCCTCTCCTTCCCTGTCCTGTCTTTTTTTAATCTTTCTTCATCAATTAGTGACGTTAGGTGTCTTTCTTTTGTCTCCCTGTGAAATACAGCAGCTGGACCTTAGGCTAGCAACACACTGTGAGATAAACTGCAGTTTGTGTGTTTGGTGATGTTTGTTGAGCTGATAAAAGTGCTGCATTTGAAATTAACTGCTATTTTAAAAAACATTATCCCCTTTATGCTCGCTCCTCTTTTGCAGCGCTAGCTAGATGACGAAGCACAGCAACCGCAACGTATGGACACTTGGACACTCGTTCTGATGTTGCCCCTGCAAGTTTTACAAGTTTTAATAGCACCCTAGTTTTCACACAGTCATACTCACCCTGTGCACTTTATACACTCACCAACACACCCACGTAGCGCTTTCAACACTGCGCGTGGGCAGGGTTTTCCATGTTTCACAAACCTTGCCCTGGACTGTCCTTGTATTATTACTTCCCCCTCCCTTTCTTTTTCTGTCAGCTAAGATATTTTCATACTATACTATATTACACACAATGTTATAACTAAAATAACCTGAATACCTGAAATAACACTAAAAAAAGTGATTAAATAAACAGATAAAAGTAATACGTGAACAAGAGAGAATTTATAGAGCTGATCTTAGAAAAGCAAAATTGGTGTGAATTTTTGCATTGATGGACTTTTCTTAACTTCATCTGTACAGGTGTTCCACACACTAGCTTATTACATCATTAAACTGCTCATTAGTATAACGTTCACATTGTTGATCATCTTTATGGGTGTAGAAATTATTTTCAGGGTCTATATCATTTTCCAAGACTCATAGTCTGTGATCAGTATACTAAAAGGGTTTTAGTCCCAAATCATGTATATACAATGATTATTTATAGGGAAGGTTGGTTCTCACTTTACTAAGAAAAGTTGTTATCATCATATTTTGTCATGTTATATGATTCTTATGTATAGCTGGTTGTTAAGAATTCCTAATGGAGAATTATATTTTTTATTTAACCTGTCATAGTTCATTTCTAATATTTATCCAGATCTGAAACTAATTTAATGACCACAACTTTTTGTTCTTCTGGGGTTCCTTTAAGTTTGATGTAGATGTTGATTGCACCGTTTTTAGTCTTCTTAGTATTCCTGCTTGTCATGCTATGTCTGCATTTTTCTTTGTCAGATGCTCGTTTATGTAGACACTGGTTCCTCACAGCTCACAGTGTCCTGTTTGATTTTCTATTCACAAAGCCTATTATTATAGATGGTTTTACTCTATTACTTTTTGAAGGCAGAGAATGGCAAACCTCAGTGTCTTTACTATTAATAGTTATTCACTTGCCATTGAAGAAATTGACAGTTTGTTGCTCCAAAGAGTCGACGTCAGCTTCAGTAGGCTCAGTGACTTCCTGTGCCACTACAGCTCTAGCATACGTTCTGTGTTTGGTCTCCAGTCCACTTACTATTAAGCCATTCATACAGGTATACTGCTCTAGATCATCCACTTGGGAACCAAGAGGGCTATTTTTTTTTATCCTTTTCTTCATTTAGTTTTTGCAGTTCTTTAATCTGTTCCATCATATCCAATAGCAACTTCTGTTGTTTAGAGGTATTAGAAAGCTCTCCTGACATCTAAGGAGGTAGACCAAGTCATCTGCTGATTGGAAGGTTGGTGGTTCAATCCTTGGCAGTGTGGATGCCAGATATCCCTGGACAAGATATTAATCCTAAATTACTCTAACATGCATCCATCAGAGTATGAATGTGTGCAAGTGTTAGGTAGAAAGCACTTACACAGCACAGAAGAAAGTGCTTGTGTAAATGGATGAATGTGGCATGTTAAGAATGTTAAGCACTTTGAGTGTTCTGGGAAAGTAGAAAAGCACTGTGTAATAATCAGTCCATTTACCATTTAGTAGGCACTTTTACCAGCCATAGTTGGTATCGTTTAAGCAAAAACTGGCTATGGTACTACTGAAGATTTCGTTCTGTTCCGCCTGCAGGCTAATAAGGAAGCCTGGTCTCGGGCTATTGGAGCCTGACCGCGGCCTGGTGGCGGGCCTGGTATCTGCTGGAGAGTCCTGGGCCTGGAGATGCTGGAGAACCCTGGGCCTGTTGGCTGCTGGTGAATCTTGAATAACATGTCTTGACTTACCGAATTGGCTAACCAGTTCATTTGAATCCTTTCAGAGGTTATCTGAGTCATCAGTAATATGACAACAGCAATATGCTGAAGAATATTTTCCGTTCATTTCAGTTTTAATGCTGCCTTCAGAGATGAGCACCAACAACAAAATGATTTCAACCCAGTTTCAGTATAATTTAAACTGAACTGGTAAACACAGAAACGGTACAGTTTAATGCACTTTTAGCAAATATAATTAACTGAATAAATCAACAGAGTAACTGAAGAAAGAAATCAAACCTTAAATTGATGTGTGTTTGAATTCAACTTAAAATGCTTTTATTTCCCCTTCTAGAAATTGTAATGCCTAAAAAAGTCAGAGCAATACATGGTACAATCTCTGTATGTGCTCTTTTGAGCTTTCACCTTTGTACTCTAATGTCCACCTAATGTCTTGACAGCTCTAATCTGACTCTCCTTCCACAATAGTAAGGAAAATCCGTACTTTCACTTCCTGTAACATGATTATAGGTTGAAAATATGCCAAAGTTATTTCTGCTGTCCACTACAAAGGGCAACAAATCTGATTTTGGTTTTGGAAAGGAGTAAAATTACTGAATTTCTGAAGTGCTGCTAAAAGGAAAAGTTAAGTTAAGTTAAGATATCAATTAGATTTTTAGCAACAACAAAAAAAATCACGTATCCTTCTCTGTTGACATAATGTGGAAGCTGCAACTCATGTCATTTTGAAAAGACATTACATGCGGCCTCAATTGAAAGCCCGAGATTTCAGATGACGGTTCAGTTGGACTCTTCCACGGGCGAGAAAAATTATAGTGATGGTGAAGAGTAACCTATCTAATGAATTAGTTTGGGACTATCTCACAGAACTTCTTTTTTAACAGATCCTTTTTTCTGACTGTGTACAGAATTTGTCATTTCCATAGCAGAGAGAATTAAGAGAGCTTCTCAAAATGAACAATGGACTCCTCCAATATGACAAACTACTTTATGACTTTAATTTGAAGTAAGCTGAAGATTTGCATTATCATTTATTGTCTTAAGAAAACTATCATATAAAATCAGCAAAAGAGATAAAGGAGTGTCTGACTCGACTCAGTCATTACAAATGCAAAGAACCATAAAATGATGTAACAAACAAAAAAAGTGCAAAAAGTGAAACATCAGAATGGGGCTGAAGATAGAAATATGTAAATTAAAGTAAGAAAATGCACCGGTTTCATTCAAAGAAGGTCTGGCACAACAGTAAAAGTCACTGAAGCAATAAGGACAATGTATCCAGCATGTAAAGCTCTATTCTGTACATATATACAATGTTGCCAATACTGGAACGTTTGCTCCACATCATTTTATAAGATTCAATTATCAATGATGACATGTGAATATGGAAAATGCTCCGTATTGGTATACATTTGGTTGAATGATTTCTATTTCATCTAAGACTAGAACATTCTGTATTGCCATCTTTGGTTTGTTTGTGTTGCAGTATGCTGTTTTTGCATGTTTGTGTCAGCTTGTTGTTACAGGATGCTGCAAACAGCAGGTTCAGTTAAATGCACCAGCAAGTTTCACTGAGCCTGAGCAGAAGAAGGACGAGCATTACATAGTCTCAAAAACACTGGAGATAAGTTTTGAGCCTTTGCATCTGAAATGTTATGATAAAAAATGAAGTATTCTCTTGTAATCATAGGATCTAAAGGTGTGAACACAAACTCTGTAGTGAAAAACACTGCAGTATGTGTCAAATACGAGTGGTCAAATGAACAAAAAAACAATAGCAAGATATGCTCTGCAGTAATAACACGTGAAAACTACATGTTAAACAAGTTACAACTGCCCTCCACCTTCTACAGTTTAAAAGTGGAGGTGATTTCAGAGCCCCTGGACATAACTGAGCTCCTCCTGAATGAGCTGTCTGACAAATCTCTGCTGTAACCAGGCACCAACTTTTTCAGCAGCTGCAAGGCTCGTCTCATAAACTTCTCTCCCACAAAAGCATAAATGATGGGGTTCAGACAGCAGTGAGTGTAAGCTAAGCTCTCAGTTACTGCCACTGACAGCCTTATATTTTTGTCCATGGTGTCATTACGTGGGATTTTCCCCTTTTCCTGAAGAAACTTCAAGAAACGAGAAATGTTATATGGAGTCCAGAGCAAGAAAAACGCAACAACTATACAGATGATCAACTTGACGATGCGGTGCCTCTTTGCTGTCCTCATGCTCATCAGTGTGGGGATGATCCTGGAGTAGCAACCAACCATCACCAGCAAAGGAATCACGAGACCCAGCACATTTGTGGTGAACAGGTTGTAACGCTCCCAGACTTTGTTGTGATAGTTACATCCAGTCTTCTGAGGCTCTTCCTTTATTTCCCGTGTGGAGATAAAATCCGGCAGAGAGACAAACAAGCTCAGCATCCAAACGAGCACGGTTAGAATGATGGCTGCCCTCTTTGTGCGAAAACGTGCAACCCTGTGAGCGTGCACGATGATCATGTAGCGGTCCAGCGTCATGACAACCATGAAGAAGATGCTGCTGAAGAAGCCAATCTGGTGAGACCCGGACAACAAACGGCACATGAAGTCTCCAAAAGTCCACTGACCAACCCTGACATAGTGAGAGAAGAAAGGCAGCATGAAGACGAAGAGGAGGTCAGAGAGAGCCAGGTTGAAGAGGCAGATGTCTGTCAGGTTGCACTGATTGCGATGCTTCACCAGGACACACACCACTAGTCCGTTACCTTTGTGAGAAAAGGCACGATAAGTGTATCTGTCACACTGTTGCATGTAAAATAAGGATGTCTGTTTTTGTGTTTCTTACATCACTGTTACACACCTACATACAAGACTCTTTCCCCTGAATCCCTTAAAGTCAACAGCTTACGAAATCTATCTCTGTCCCCAGAAAGTGAGGACGTGTTCTCACAGCCAACATACAACAGGACACACCTACCTATGAAGCCCAGGATGAAAACCAAACTATAGAGAGTGGCAAGAAACACTTGACTGAAATCTTGAATATCAGTTAAGTTGATAGGAGCATAATCTTGTGTGACACCTTCATCATAGTAACTCGTATAACTGTATGTGTCATTTTCTGTGGCATTCTCGTCTGGAGAGAGAGAGAGAGAGACAGAGCTGTTATTAGTAGTAGTAGCTGTAGTATAGTAGTATTTCAACACAGACCATGAATATTAATGTACAATGGATATAGCACCTGTCTACAACGCTGCATTCAAACACTTTGAGTGCTCACGGCATTAAATGTTAATAATGAAGTTTCAATCGTTTTCATTGAAACACAGGAAAAAGTTCAAAAGTTACTGGTGCTGATTACTGTTTGTGAAAATGATTTTCCTTTGTTATGTATGTTTAGACCCTCAAAGTCAGTTGATAATAAGGATTATTTTGCCACCTGCTGGTAGTTACAGGTACGTCTGTCAAGCCACCGTTCGTCACTTTTCACCGGATGCTTCTGCTTTATGAAAAACGATATTTAAACTTCCTTTATACTGTCTATGATTTAAACCAAATCAGTTACAATAAAAACAGGTGATATGAGGCTAAAAGCCAATAAGCCCGGTCTAAATGTGTACTATTAGAACCCTGGGGCACTGAAAATTATTATTTCATTTCGTCCATTTCTTTATGTTATAATCATTTTTACAAAAATATCCATGTAATGAGATTATTTAAGATTATCAACATAATTTTAAAATATTATTTTTTATTATATTGTCTAACTCAACAGACCTGTTTGTAGATGACAGCAAAAGGTCACCTTCACAGACATTGTGGTTATACACATATTTTGTACACTTTTGTGAAGACTTTTCGAAGAATATAGAAATAGAACTATCAAATAGAAATAAAAAGATAATATTTTACAGTATTATTGGTTTTAGATCTCTACAGGAATGCGCACAGCCTTAGACATTAACCATAATAACATGGATATATTTAAAAGAAAATATTAAAATATTACACTGCAAAATTACCAATTTGGATACCAATGGATTACTTATTAAATGTATTCACCTTGCATAGTGATATCTCAATGATGGCTCTTCCAGCCAGGTAGAGTCAGGAATGGCACTTCAAGGCTCCCCCCTTTTTGTTTTTCGTTCTTAATGATGTGATGCCTTTATTCTGCAGAGATGAACTAACACCCAAATAGTTAGCAGTCTGATAATGAGCAGTAAAAAAAAACAGAAGAGCAGATGTTGCTTCCTGTATGTCCTGTAAGTAAGATCTTTATCTTGTCTAGATGTCTGCTAGACATCAAGAATGCCAAAAATAATTCAAAGAGCAGAATGGCATGTGGTTACACCCCTTCACACCTCTAAAACTGAATGCTGGCTTTTAAAAAAACAATTAAAACCCTTCATGATTTTTGCATGTAGGTTTACACCATGTTTAGTTTTCCTTCTACTTAAACTTATTTAGAAAATGCACTATTTTTCAAATAATTTTCAATATGAATACATCTTTAATTTTAACAGCATAATTTCCCTCACAGCTGAAAGGGCGAGTGATAACTTCTGCAATTAATATTTTGGTCTTTGCTTTGTTACATTTCACATCACAAGTTGCAGCTTTGATTAAGAAATGTGCTCGACTGATATTAGTAATTGTTCAAAGACTTCTATTCAGAGTCAAACGCAATGTTACAAAAACTGGTGTTTCTATCTCTATCTTGATGTCTTCCTTTTCTCGTCATCATTTTCTCTTCTTGTTGTCATTGTGGTGCATCTCCATGACATAGACCCCACATACCTGTTTCTATATACTTATTGCTGCACAACCCACTTACTCTATGAGAGATGATTGATTCTTGGAAAACACGTATGTGTGGTCTACTGCCACCTCTTGTGGTGGAAAATTAGAAAAGTGGTGCACATTTCAAAAGTTTGAATTCTTTGGTAGAATTTCAGTGACGCATAATCAAACCACATGGTCATTTTCTGAGATGGCTGTCTGAGGGGTGGGGGGAGAGGGGGGGGGGGGGGGGTTACCGGTACATGAATCAACAGGAAATAAGTGTGTGACATCCTGGTTAGCAGCTCACTGACCAGTTATGGCACTGCCTCAGTGCCTCAGATTGCTAAATCTGGTTGTATCTCTGTGTTTAACAGCCACTGCAGGCGATCTCATCGTTTCTGACCTATGCTGTTACATTACAATGATTTGATTTCCTAAAGACAAAGTTCACATGGTGCAGACCAGACAAGTAATTTATCACGTAATGTTTGTCTTAAAAACACAACTGGAGAAAAAAGTAAGTAAATGTAGATTTTCTTTCAAGTACCATACAACCCATACATCATTTTCCTGCACGTTTGCTGCTTCTTCACCTTAAGTTTTTCTTTGTGTTTAAACTCGCGTTTGGGGGTGCAGTGACAACCTTTGCTGAGTTTAACAATAGTTGTTATTCATATTTTCTGAATGTTTCAAAAACATACTGTGCATGTAAATACAAAATCCCCAAATTATTTTACTCTTACATGGAAGAAAAGATTATTTCTGAACTCTTTTTTTTCAAAGAATGTCAATAATATACATAGTTAGCAGTCATTTTGCACCCAGGTTGCATTACATTTTTCTGTTTCTGTTGCTCTTGCTGATGTATAATTTAAAAATATCATTAAAAAAATCAACAACACGCAAACACCCAAAGTAAGTAAATAACCTACATTTTTAGATGTTTGTAATTTTTCTTTGTATTTGAATTACATATTGAGTTTTAATGCTTTTCAAAATATTGAATTGTGTTTTTAGGGTGTTTCTGCTTAACCTGCAACTTACTTACTTTGATTTTACAAAAATAGACTGTTTGCCAAATATATTTCTCATATAACATCTGCAAAAAGCATTCAGCTCATGAGGAATTACACAGCTCACCTTTACTTCAACTTCAGTTGAAAATAACTCACAGCTGATGAAATCTTTGTTATACTAGTTGGTCTTCCACTAATGGTCCCCTATAACAGACAACACTAATGTTCTATGGTGGAAAACAGTTAAGTATCAAATAAATAAATTAGGAACTGTCTCACGTCATATCTTGTCTTTTTTTAATAATCTCTTTTTTCATGACTTTTCATGTAAGGATTTTTTCTTTACAGTTACAAAGGGAAATATAGGAGATCATGCTCAATACACACTATTATACTCAAAATATGCAATATCAGAGATAAGAGATAAGATAAAACTTTATTAATCCCTCGGGTGGGTTCCTCTGGGAAATTCGGTTTCCAAAAGCACAGCACCGACAGAAGTTACATATCAGTGACTGTCTTAAGGAAACTACCATGTAAAATCAGGATGAGAGATGAGTATTGCAGAATATAATCACTTTTACTGGTAAAGAAATTGCAAAGCCAAGGAATCAAAAACAACAGCAGCCAAAAAAAGCATAACAAATGTGTAAAATAAAGTAAGATAATATATATATTTAGTATAACCTTTGAAATACCTGCAATAATCACTGAAGCAAAAAAAGAAAATCTAATATATAAAACTCTATACAGCATACTGTACATGCGTATACAAAATTGACACAAAAATACACACTGGAAAGGTTGTTCCTTATCATTTGTCAAATACCCAATATTATGTCAGAAGACACGTGAAAATGTACTTTTAACACCTAGCACTGTATTTGCATACATTTGAATAAAACGCTTTATGCACACAAGTATAAAATGTTCCATTATGCCTTGTTTTCTTTTTCGATATGTTTATCCTACATAGCTGTTGAATAAAAACATGCATGAAGAAAATAGTTTCATTTTACACCACCAGCAAAAAAAACCTCATTCCATAGTTTAGAAAGGACTTGAGAATCTGTAAAGCAGACAGCAGTGCTAGCAGGTTACAATCATTTCAGAAGTAATGAGCCTTTAAATCTGAAATCTTACAGTCAAAACAATACTGAAAATTCAACATGGTGAGACACAGGTGAAGAAAACTGCTATGTGGCAAGTGGGAGTGACCAAATTAACAAAACAAATCACTGAAACATGAATAAGATATGGTCTGCAGTAATAACAGGGCGATACATTCATGTCAAACAATCCTCCCTACACCTTCTACATGATATAAGTGGAGGTGACTTCAGAGGACTTGGAAATAACTGAGCTTCTCCTGAATGAGCTGTCTGGAAGATTCCTGATGCCAGGCACAAAATTTTTCAGCAGCTTCAAGGCCCTTCTCATAAACTTCTGTCCCACAAATGCATATATGATGGGATTCAGACAGCAGTGAGTGTAAGCAAACGCCTCAGTTACTACCACTGACAGCCTTACATTTTTGTACCAGATGGGATCACGTAGGATTTTTCCTTTTTCCTGAAGAAACTTCAAGAAACGGGAAATGTTATATGGAGCCCAGAGCAAGAAGAATGCAACCACTATGCAGATGATCAGCTTGACAATGCGGTGCTTCTTTGCGGTCCTCATGTTTACCAGCCTGGGGATGATCCTGGAGTAGCAACCTACCATCACCAGCATGGGAATCACGAGACCCAGCACATTTGTGGTGAACAGGTTGTAATGCTTCCAGACTTTCTTCTCCTCGGGATAGTTACATCCAAACTTCTCAGACTCGTCCTTTGTTTCCTGTGTGAAGATAAAATCCGGCAGAGATACAAACAAGCTCAGCGTCCAAACGAGCACGGTCAGAATGATGGCTGCCCTCATTGTACGATAACGTGCCACCCTGTGAGCGTGCACGATGATTATATAACGGTCCAGCGTCATGACAACCATGAAGAAGATGCTGCTGAAGAAGCCAGTCTGGTGAGAGCCGGACAACAAACGGCACATGAAGTCTCCAAAAGTCCACTGGCCGACCCTGGCATAGTGAGAGTAGAACGGCAGCGTGAAGACGAAGAGGAGGTCAGAGAGAGCCAGGTTGAAGAGGCAGATGTCTGTCAGGTTGCTCTGATTGCGGTACTTCACCACGACATACACCACTAGTCCGTTACCTTTGGCAGAAAAAAAGAGTCGAGAATTGTATACCTTTGACACTTTCCCTCCAATGTGTAAACACAACTGTCATTCCCATAGTAGAAGACACACCTACCTATGAAGCCCAAGGCAAAAACCAAACTATAGAGAGTGGATAGAAACACTTGGCTGAAGACCTGTACATCACTGAAATTGGTAGGAGCGTAGTCGCCCAAACCATTTTCATAGTCCTCGTAACTGTACAGTGTGGTCTGTTCTGTAAAGACAGTTATTATAATTGTTTTATTAGTAGTAGTAGTAGTCTTATTTTTTGTTATTATTATTTACACACATACTACAAAAATTAACCATCCAAATTAGGTTATATTATCACACATTATCAAGCATTTTAATTTAAAAACAACAACAACAAAACTGGTGAGAAAAGTTGCAATGTAAGTTGAAGACCACTGTTGCTGTCACGTCAGTTTTTTTGAAAGGAGGTTTTTTTTCTATTTCTAAAAAAACAAAAAAACAAAAAAACAATAGTAATCAGTTCGGCTCTGTTGTATTAGGTTTAAGTCAAGTAATAACGGAGATTATTGAGCCACCTGCTGGTTATTACAAGTACTCCAATTGTGGGAATGTGAACAGAGTTTAAACTTTAGTTCGCCATTGTAGCTGATTTTAATCCAGATCACATTAAGCTAAAAGCACAAATACCACCATAAACCTATAAACCTTAAACCACTAACCTTTCATTATGGTCTTTTTCTTTATTTTAGCATTTTGTCTTACATGGACATTTTAATTAATGGGTATTTTATATGATTAGCATCATTTTATAATAATATTTTTTACATTGTCTCAATCAGCAGATGCATGTTTGCAGATCAAAGAAAATATAAAAGGTTTATTAAGGTGAACTTCAAAGATATCGCAGCAGTGCATTTATTTCTTACACTTTTACAAACAATTTTTCGAGCACAGTGTTCTCAAATAAAATATTATCTAGATCAAATATGGAAAGAGAAAAAAACAAGTATTTGCCGTATTACAGCATTTGAATTTAAATTCTTAAAGCAATGCATACAGACTTACCATTACACATTATAACACAAAAAATTGTTTATACTGCAAATATCCCAAATTCGGGATTAATGTTAAAATATATTCACCTGACATAGTGATATCTCAGTGATGGCTAATCCAACCAAGTAGAGTCAGGAATTACGCGTCAAGGCTCGTTTTTCCCCCCCTCTGTTGTTGATGCGACGATAGCTTTAGATGTGGAGAGATAAATAACAGTCTTAATGCTGCAGTCTGATAATGAGTAGTACTGAAGCAGAAGTGCAGATGTCGTTTCCTGTACGTCCTTGGGTGAGATCTTTATCAGTTTAAACTCTGAGCTTACCATCTAGACACCCAAAAATAATTCAAGAACAGCACAGCATATGATTACACACATTTTCACACCTTTAGAAAACAGCCGTTAGTTTTTGCTTAAAGGCCCAAACAGTTTGTCATTAACGTTTTAAAATGCATATTGCTATTCGTGTTTTCCAGTTTCATAGAATGTTACTCTTTTTAAAGTTCCTTAAAGTTAAGGTAATTATTTATCTCTTTTAATCAGACAGGTTTGCAGTATCTGGTTATCTTTTGGTTTGCCACATTTCCTGTCACATTTTGCAGCTTTGAATAAGAAATGTGCACGCATTAAATACTAGCATTTGTTCAGGACTTCTATCCAGAGTTAGCTTTAAGAGTTTCCTCTTAAAAAATTAATTAATTAAAATTAATTTTAAAAAGTTTTTATTTAGCCCTGCGACAGACTGGCGACCTGTCCAGGGTGGACCCTGCCTCTCGCCCTATGACAGCTGGGATAGGCTTCAGCGACCCCCCTGAAAAGGATAAGCGGGAACCAATGGATGGATGAAGTTTTTATTTTTTTTAATTAATTAATTAATTTATTTATTTAATGGGCTGCACTATTAAAAGGCAAATTAGAGATTTTTTTTTACAAATTATTCTATTTTAGCTTCCATATATCTCTCTCTCTCTTCATATGTCTTTATTGTCGTTTTGTTTTGATTTTTTGTTTTGTAATTAAAATATTAATAATATTAAAATATTTTTTCCCTTGATCTTGGTTTCGTTGTACGTCTCTGGTGCATATTTATGACTCTTTATAGAGCGATTCTTGCTATTTTATGCATGGTCTTTATCGTCCTCTTGTGGTGAAAAACTCTAAAAACATGCAACTCGTGCTGTGCAGTTATATAACGTATTTACGCAGTAGTAGCTCCACGTCAGGGGTCTATTAAAGCGCGGTGTTCTTCGAGACAAAATCGGCAGCAATGGATAGAGTCATTGAGGTGAATAAAGTTTTCTTTTCGGTGAGGAAGTGAAATTGTTTTTTCCCTGTCTAATGGAATCTGGGCAGTGTCATGATGTGTTTTTAAGAAATGGAACGATAGCCTGAATGAAGTTAACTCTAAGCTTAAAAAAAGAAAAAGAAAAAGAAGAAGCTGAGCATAGGTCCAAGAGATAAAAATGCTTTCCACAGTGAGATCAAAGGCATAAAAGGTCAGGACGTGTCATATTGTATGGAATGACAGGACCCAGATGCTGAACAGGGAGATGTTAATACGCAGAAAACGCACCTTTATTTTGGAAGTTGGAAAATCCAAATATGCAGAGTCCAAACAAAATCCAAATGCTGGAAAAAAATTGCAAACTGAATCCAAGAAACAGGCAGGCAGCACACAAGTGAGGTTACTGAAGAATACAACAGACGCCACATATAAAACCAAAGACAGACACGCCTGTAAGTGAATACATGTGCAATCAGGAGGAGGACTGTCACAGGGAAATAACATACAGGAAGTAAAATTTGGGACAAGACACACGAGATACAAGCTAATAAAGTAAAACTGGGAGTAACCCTGAGGTCAGAAAAGTTCTTAATAATCACAAAATCCAAAACTGCCACAAAAAAAGACAAAGAAAATAAGAACAGGGAACAGGAGAGGCTGGAGGACAGGGAATTTGTGTCTGTATTTCAGTCTGTGTTTTTTGTGAAACATTCTGTGTGTGTATTCAAATGTATTTATGCCTAGTATATTGTTACTAACTAACAAACAGACAGACAAACAAACAGATCGATGACATACTTTCTCCCAAACGCTTGATTGCAGGGGAGAGAATTGCCACCAAGCATTATTAAATAAGTGTCAACAAGTCTGCTTCCCTTCAGGAACCCCTGCCCACCTTCTACTCAACGTCACAAAGAGGAAGGAAAAAGCAGACAAGGTCATAGATAACAAAAAACGCTATATAGCAGATTCTGGAGAGACACTGATCCTCGCGTTGTTCTTTGTTCTTTGCAAACAATTTCCAATCAGAGTAGTACAAGGATAGAAAAAAAATTAGGTGACAGTGTTTTGGATTCAAATCCCTACAGCAATGTGTACACCCTTAAGCTTTACACATTATAGTGCAAACATATTTCCAAAATCATGCAAAACATCACACTGCATATATTTCAAACACTTTCAAAATGTATTCACCTACCTGACTTAGTGATATGACTGGATGACTGGATATGTAAAGCGCTTTGGGGTCCTTAGGGACTAGTAAAAGCGCTATACAAATACAGGCCATTTACCATTTTTGCACAGTGTACCAGGCACTCTTTTCATAATGAACTTGTATCTACTTCTTTTATCTACTTCTCCAATATTAGGGGAGCTCACACACGAGGGATTACCCTGGTTATTTATATCAACATGTTGGAAACTTGCTTTCTGGGCTCTATTTCCAGGAAACAAGTTCATCAAATTTTGAGTTTAAAACAGCTTAAAAATAAACCCTGAGTTCAGCAACTCTCAGTTCAGCAACTCTCAGTTGCTGAACTCAGAGCTTTTCTTGGAACAGGAAACTGTTCCAAGAAAAGCTCATCAGAGTAAGTTGAATCAATTCTGAGTAGTAACCCTGGCACATGGGTGAGTAGGGAAATAAAGAACCCAGCATTCACCAAGGCAACACCATTTTAATCCAATGGGCAGAGGACATGTTTAATTTTTTAATAATCATGATTATATTTAGATACATATTATAAAGACAATTAAATCTTTATAACTGTAAGTATATGTGGGTGACAGAAACTGATGATAAAAATGTGGAGAAACAGATCAGACAGATCATTGATGGACCTGTGATCTGCCCTCAAGTCCGTTTTTTAGTTAAATAAAAACAGTTTGTGCTACAGTTTATGATTATTCCAGTGTTTGAGTAATTATTTAGTAACATTTTAATCTACTGATGGAATATAGCAGCCTCCCTTTTTTAAGACAAGAATTTCTTTATTTTTGTTATTAATGGATAAGAAATGCTTAATAAGATTTCAAAGAAACTCTGCTTGAATTTCCCACACTGTAACCATTTTTAATCTGATCTAATGTCAGCCTTAACTGAAAAATAATGGCTCACTCACACCCATAGTCAGAATTCAGTCATTGTTTCACATTTAACTGGAAAAAAAAAGTTTTTCAAGCGTTAGTTTCAACGGTAAAGGCAAACATGTTTTAAGAAATAGTTTAGCTTTGACAGAGTTATTTCAGTAGTTTGGGGGGGGGATGATCTGTTTAAATAAAGACTGCAGATCGTGTCGAGAAAAATCAGGCTGTTGTGAATGAATATGGACAGGATTACCTGCATCTAGGTCTTGATATGATATTAGTTGTGGATTTGTCCTGCTGTGCAAGACTCAGACCTGGACACAGTTTCCTTATGAGCTGCTTATGAGCTGTCATAGGTAGTCTTTTCTTCTGAATGTTTGTCACTCCTTCTCATGAATCGAAGTGATTCTACTGCTTTATGAAAACTTGACCTAAATCACCATTGCAACTAATATAAGACAAATCTTATGAGTCTAAAAGTTCACCAGGCCAGTGTCACTACATACCATCGTAAGTGCCTTGAGTCAACTGTTGCTTCCATTTGGTGCTATATGAGTACAATTGAATTGATTTAAAACTAAATTAACCCCGACAGTGAATATTTATTTGATGTATTCACCTGACTTAGTGATATCTCACTGATTGCTCTTCAAATTAGTTGAGTCAGGAATTACGCTTCACAGCTCCTCATGTGATGCTTTCAGATGTGTACAGATGAATTATCACTCTTAAAGTCTGCAAGTACAAGGTGTGCAGAAATAGAGGTGCCAATAGAGTTTCCTGTTTGTCTAGAAGTGAGAATTACCAAACAACTATCAAGCAAATCTGGCAAACAACACATAACACGTGGTTACACACCTTATTCACATCATGAGAAAAGGACTGCAGTTTTTCTTTTTTTTTTCTTTTAGCTTAAAGGCTTAAAGAGGAATTTTTATTGTGGCTATAGGTGGACTTGTTATTATTGTTCAGATACTGTTTGTTTGTTTGTTTGTTTGATTGTTATTTTGTTTTAGCCTGCACACATCCAGCTTCACTTTCCTTTTTCTTTTTCATCTTGTTCCTCTACTACTTCCTCTTCTTCCTCTGCTTCATATCATACATTCCACATAAATATCTTTATAAACCGTTTAGTATAGCCAGTATACCCACAGAAAGTCTACTCTTAACCTAATAAGACCTATAACTTTTATAATGTTTAAAGTAGAGTCGCTGAGTGATTACTGTATGGTCTATGGTGACCTCTTGTGGTGGACAGTTTTGACTACATGTCTACACTTTCTCGTGGCACAAAGCATGCTGGGAGAAAAGGTTTGAATTGTCATTGCAGAATTTAAATAAAGTATTATCACCTAGAAGCTACGACTCAGACTTTGGCGGCTGTAGACCTGACATCAAACAAAATATAACAATAATAATAATACATCATATAGATAGATAGATAGATAGATAGATAGATAGATAGATAGATAGATAGATAGATAGATAGATAGATAGATAGATAGATAGATAGATAGATAGATAGATGTGTGTGTGTTAATTGGAGTTCATATTGCTGTTTGTACACACGCTATGTTGTTATATTTTGTGTTTTGGTAGTAGGCTATTTCTATACGGTATTTGTACCGACGCTCTCCAGTTGGCGCTGAATGAAGTCCCGATGAGGATGATTGACATTAGATCTGCTGACGAAAGCGGGCTGAAGAGAATCTCGGCAAAGTAAGAGTATGTAGATAACGGAAATCGCTTGGGATTCCTTTCTAAATAAAAGCGTTGATGCTCTTTAAGCGCTACAAGACTGTCCTCACGCGAGGTACAGTAGGGAAAATAGCACAGTTATAACGTAGATGTTTTCTGTGGAGCTAATATATATCCCTCATTAGAGTCGCACAAAGACGGAAAGACTTTGAAATGAGCGTTTTTAAAAGGAAACCTTTAGTTTGGAAGGACATCCCGGTAGTCTTTTTAATGGTTCAGTTGACTTGACAACTTCGCGAAGGGATACGAAGATTACAACAAGTGGATATGACAAGTTACTCAGTCCGAATGACTCAGTAAGAATGTTCAGCATGGATAGACTATAACTTAAAAATAGTGAGCAATAGTGTTAATGTTGTTAGGTCGTTGCTAGCCTCCGGGGACACTTTGCGGCCGGTATGCTTCAGCTCACAGCAGACTGACTCATCTTTGCACACTGTCACTTGTTGTGCACTCTTATAGACAGTTTTTCCCTGTTAGAGTTATACTAGAAAATTTGCCGACTATAAATTATTGTAAGTATGATGCTGAAACTCGCAGGTGACAACATCATGGTTAGCCACCGAGTCTGAGTAACAGCGCATTTTGGGAGCGAGCCCCGCTAATCTCAAGTTGGAGGCAGTCTCAGCGATGAGCGCGTCCTCAAAGCCGCCTTTAGGGTAAGTAGCCCATTTCTAAACAAACACTCGACACGCCAGACTATTTACAACTCAGTTCGTGTGAGTGTTTTTTCTTCTGATTGTTTACGTAAGTTTCTGGATAATTGTAATAATGTCAGCTGGGAATTCGTCTTGGCTGAATAACAGTCTCTAATCTTACTATGAAAGCCATAACCTACTAATGGGTTCGGTTCTAATGTTCCCGCGATATTATAGGGTGCTATTTGTTATAAGTTTGTTTTCACGGCAATGAATTATTGTAGATAGGCCCGTTGCCCATTCAAGTGTATATGACTGCCCAGTAATAACACACAGCCTATAGTCAGCACCGACAACAGAGAGTGTTCCAGCAGCCCAGTCTGTTTGCCACACACATAGAAAAAACCATGAGCGGCTTAGAAGCACATAATATTTTAACTGTGTCCTTGGTGGTTCATGGAGAGACATTAATGAAGATCTGGTGCTGGAACAGCAACAACTGTGAACTGTACTTTCCAAAGGCTCCTTTTAATTGTGTAGTTTGGGTGGGGCCTCCAGTTGCATATTGAGCCTGCCATTTAAAACGAAACATAAACTAAATGCAACCTGATTATCCTACATGTTATGAGAACTTATATCAGGGCACACTCCAACAGATCATACCAAGTAACTCCTTATCATCTACTGTACATTTGAATGCCAAAACATGCTATTGTTGACGACAGAGTCCACACACTATGACTGCAGGTCTTAGTCTTTCACATGTTGTTGTGCTACAAGCGGATAAAAGTAAGTGTTTTCCACCCTAAAAGCAGTATTGCTGATTTATATTTACCAGTCTGTTTGTTTTTGTTGTCCAGGGGTAGAAAGGCAAGATATAAAAGGCCAAATTATAGCCTTCATCTGCCTATGTTTTTAATAATATGTCATAATAGTCAGTGTCTGTTTTTTTGTTTTGTATTTTACTGGGTGGTCAGCAAAAGAAAATTAGTGTGCAATGTCCTGGTGAGCTGCTCTGTCCTTCAGCATCATTATGTGGTACTTGGGTGCTAATTATGGTCATACCTGTGTACTTGAGAGCACCTGTCGTTGACCTTGTCAATTCTGATCTAATTTAGATGAGTCATACCTTTTACTCAGCGGGACACCATAAAAATGCCATCGTCCATGTGCCGTAGTTATGTAGTAATAGTTCACTATCGTATAAACAGTAAAATGTGATGTTCTTCAGGGGAAATACCAGCAACACTTGATAGTGTTGATGAGGTGAATAAAAATTTGGTCTTTTCTTTTTTCTCCTGCTGTGACCTTTAAAGCAAAGGTTCCTTTAACCAGATACTCTTAATTACAGTGAATCCAGACTCTTAAGTGCTTGTTGGCCAAATTATAAAGCGCACAGGTCACGGAGGTAGCTGGCAGTGGAAGCAAAATGGCTTTTTATCTGCTCTTTATGTGACAGGTATTCCCATTTAAATCTACCTTGACAACTTTTGTTCTGTGATCTCTCTTTCGTCATCACACAGGGAGTAGCTACTTTACTACATAGTGCCGCCCTCATGAAACACAGCTCATAAAATTGCATTAACATGCAGCACAGTCAAACAGTCTGGGAAGAGACCGTTGATTGTTTTTCTTCCTTTTTTTCTTTTTTAAACTTTTGTACCTGGCTAGTGAAATCTGAGCATGTGCATGTTTGATTGTGTATCAGTGCTTACAAAGCCTGTTTTTATCAGTAGTGCAAAGTTGGACTGAATAAGGCCTTAGTTCCTAAGCTTTAAAGAAAGTCTAATTAGGCATGAATATAACGTTTGATTGTTGTTGGCTTATTTTGTGCTTGTTTTTGTTTGTTTCTGTAATACTGTGAGGTCTGCAGTTTACAATATAAGATGTATAGATGACAGTTGTTGTGTAAATAAAATGAAATTGAATTGAATAATAGAAACAAATGATTTCCCAGTGAGAACGTTACAAAAAGTCAGGATGAACATTCGACAACATGTGTCCTTATCTGAAGCAAAATAGTTTTCATTACTTAACCTCACCCTCTTTTTTTAGTGTGTGTTCATTGTATTTATACCAGACTAGTCCTCTTTCTCGAAGTCTTAATGAGCACACTGGTGTTTTCCTCTGCATGTCTGGACCTGGGGTGTTTGTGTGTCAGTAAGCGACTGCCTCTGTACTTGTTTGTGTGCCGAGCGAGGTTGAGAGCAGAAGCGTCTGTTTAATATGGCTTTATTTCATGGTCTTATGGTTAGTACACGACCCCACAGAAGCAATAAGGAAACAGCAGAGTGGCTTAAATAAATGGAGAATTAATTAAAGCAGAACCACTAAAGTAAATTACAAATTTACAGAATTCCCCACTTGTTTTTTTCTTTTCTTCCATCCTTCAAAGTGTTTTACTGAGGTGGTAGAAGTTTAATAAGAATTCTTTTCTCTTTTCTTGAGACGCCGTTGATGCATGTGACGTCAGAACCTTGTGAGTTTACTTTGGTCACATGGTTCAGTCCCCAGTAACAATCATCCACCCAAACCTCACATTTGGTCCCACTTATTAGCTGTTCAAAGGGCCTCTTGAAGCGCAAAGAGCAAAAAAAATAAAACAGCCTTACCACCGTCAACGTCCAGATTTGTGCTGCCATGTGCTTCATCGCTGGTGGGCCACACATCCTACTTTAAACACATCTGCAGTTTTTTTGGTTTATTTGTTTTGGTGCCCAATCAAAAACACACCCCCAGGAAGATGGGGTTGGAGATTTTACAGATAAATTCTGTATGCATGCATACAAATACACACACCCAGAGGTAATTACTGCATGTCACGCTGCCTGTCCTGTTCTATGTGGATGTCTGTGTGAGCTAATAAGTGATGTATATGAAGAGAGGTCTCGCCTAGCTACAGTCAAAAATGTTCGTTACTTTGAAGTTGTGTCCGCTGAACTCAAATGCCATTCTTACTGTTTGACTGTTTGCATAGCATTTGAATGCCATTTGTGTTGCACACGTATAGATAGACTAAGAGTAATCTAAGCTAGCATACTGTATGTCTTTTCCTAGCTGGTGTCTCAGATCATTTTAAGACAGAAGCAGATGTAACCTTTCCAAACCTCACACCCACTTCATAAAATATTAAGGTTCATGTGGTCGGCCACTAGCTCAGGGCTGCTGACTAAGGGAGTTCCCTTCTTTTTGTCTTTGCTCGGAAGCCTATACAGTGCGCATATTTAGCAAAGGGCGTACATGGTAACAGCTGGACGTTATTTTTATGATGAGTTAAATTTAACTCATGAAAGCTGAGATGGGAGAGAGAGGGTTGCGTTTGAGGCTATGCGTTGTTGGCAGTAGTGCAGTATGTATCTGGTAATGTCTGCATCTAGCTCTCAGGCCATCCCGTTTAAAATAGAGAGGGTGTGGATGCAGTGCTTCTGCAAGCCTGTTCAGCACACGCTGATGGAATATATTTGCTCAAAAGCACAAGACTGGCATATAATCTTTATGTGAAGTAGTTAGCTTATTAATTAAATTAACTGGAAGTGCTACTCCTTTAATTAACAACAACAGTGCATTTTACAAGGCCAGGCACAGTAGGATGAAATTAATCGGTCCTTGGGCAGCGCACTATCAGGCAGCACTTATGCTCATAAGATAGTTACTCCAGCACAATGCTTCGTTATATCAGTGACATTTCAGACATCTAGACTGGCCCTATTTATAAACTATCGTGATCCTTAGGTTCACTACATTATCCACTCTGTTTTCTTCCACTTGTCAACCTCTGCCCCCACCCTCCCTCCCCCTGCAAAAAAAGCACTAGCAGACACCTTACAACAAAGTAGTGCTTGTATATTTGACAGTATCTACAGTACACTGTATCTGCCTGTATTATGCAGCTGTTATGCACTGCTCAGATTTATTTCTGGAAGCCTGCTGTCATATGTTAGTCTCTGTGGTATGTGTGTTTGTCACAGAGGAAGACAGACGGACTGCATGTGTGTGACTAAAACTGGGTGGATTCATCTAGCTGATGTGATAAAGCAGAGGAGTGTTCAATGTGATAGATTTGCACATGTTTAACCTTGGAATGTTTCTCCCTGCTTTTGCCTTCATTGCAGAGAAAGATAAGAAATAACCTGTAATCATATCAGTAATTTACCAACATGTGACATTTTTAAGCTATTATTATTAAACACATAAAGGGTATCAGAAGGGAGCGCATGCAGTCTTTTTTCACGTTGGCAAACCTTCCTTTAAGGCATGGCTTTCTGCCAAAAGTTATGAATGAATGCTTTTGTACTTTCTCCCCACAAATGCTGTGATAATATTTCACTTTTCAGCTTTTCTGAAGCTTTACATTGATTTGTGTTATATATTTATATTTTTTAATTTTTGCTTCTTCTTTTCTTCCTGTCACTCCAGCAGGAGTTCTCTCTAATTGAACAAGCAGCAGCTTAGGGAATAGAGAATAAACTAATTATTATTTCCTGCTGTTGTTCCTCTACATTCCACTCTTTGCTCCACCCTTATTATTCCCTTTCCCCCTGTTCCCCCCTCGACACAAGGCTTTGTGCCACCTGAGATTCCCTCTTCTCTCTCTTTCTTACTAACCATTTATTGTCTTTTTTTGTTTTCTTACTTCTGTTGGTCTGTTTGCCACCCGTGAGCTTTACCACAATGTAGCTGGAACACAGTGAAATGCCCTTGGGAACAGGCCAGTTAATAAATGTTCAAAAAAGACCAAATAAGAAAAGGAAAAAACTGGCATGATTTTTCCAGCTCTGCAGACAGTCTGTTAAGTCAGCTTCCTGTTCCTGTATTTGGAGAATTGTGGTTGTCTTGGTACATGTTTTGTGCTAAACTGTTTACAGCATGTCTCTTAGTCACTGGTCACAAGCAGACATGATAACTATATATGTCAAAAGAGATGAATACAAAAAAGAGGGTTGATGTGTAGTGGTGCTATCCACAGTAGGTGGATTTTTCTCTTTAGTTGTGAAATAAATACTCTGGGTTGTGGTTAAATCGTTGGGGAAATTACATCCTACGTCCTAATCATTTTTTCCTTGAGGTCTTCCATGAGGTCAAGGAATGACGTGAAGCAAAAATCAAAAGGAGACAGACGAATACTTTAGCAGTGCTAAACGCGTGCACATGCAAAAGGCTGTGGTGAATTTGTGATGTCCCAAAGATCACTCAGAGACAGCTGTAAATATTTTGTCCTGTGCATTCTTGCCATGTTTTATGCAGGCTATAAAAAACATCAACCTTTTAAAAAAATATTGTTTCCCTTACATGCTAGAAATAGCAGCGAAACAAAAAGGTTGTTACAATACGAATAGTTGCTCTTGTCCATACTTAAATATAAATTAGCACCAGTCTAACTGTAGAAAATAATTGTTACATTTATAAAATATTGATAACTTTTAAATGTAGCTAATGCAGTGGGATGGTATTATCCTTTTGTAAAAGCTGGTCTGGTACATCCTGTGCTCAAGCACTGAACCAGCTTTGATTAGCATTTAAAGAATTTAAGCAGGACTGCCTTTCAGTCCGTCCTTCTCTAAGAAAAAAAAAGACAGTTTGACCACAACCGTGGATTACTGGTTGCTGGTTCCATCTGAGGTTATTGCGTTAGCTAACTGTTTAAGAGTGTAAGCAACCTAATTGATCCCATGAGTAACAAATCATTTAGCACCTGCGGTGTTGTGTGTGTGGTGTGTGTGTTCTTTTTTTTTTTGTTAATCTCCCACGGGTTATTACGGTCTCTGCACACATGTTGATCAGACTCTGCAGAGCCCTAACTTGGTTCTTTTGGAGAAGTCAGGACTTGATAATCAGGTAAATTAAAGTTTCATACAAGCTAAAAATATTAACACTGGAGCCTCAGACTATTTGCAAATTCAGGGCTATTTATAATATGTAATAAGGTTACAGCTTGTATGCAAATTTAGTGAAATATTTTGCATTTGTGCAAATGAGACAGTAAAACTGGATATGATTTATCAGTCTGAGGAGAGCTAATGATTGTATGCTGCCTGCAAGCCTAGACCATTATTATGGCAACACATTTGTTTGTATGTCTGTTAAGAAAATCAGAGGTTCAAAAATAAATGTTGACATTTTTTCATTTGCTTCTCTATGCTTTGTAATTTTCACTTTGCTGTAGTGAGAGGGGCAGCGGTGAGACTGTGAATATAGAGGATGAAGCTGGCATTTCCAGACTCGGTTTACTTGACATTGAGATGCGGTGGGGGTTAAGCACATTGATAGTAATATGAGCATCAAGACATATGCTGAATTAGAAGGTTTTGTGACTAGCAACTGCAAACAAATGCTTTACTTGGCTCATATGTCCAATTTCAGTCTCCCACACTCTGTCTCTTGTTCACTGGTGTTTCTCCGGGTCACTCACCCTGGGTGTGCATGCCTCTCCAATCCACAGCTGCTACTGGACTAAGATCTGCCTTCTTTTGCAGTCAAGTGGTGTAAATATAGGTTGCCATGGGGACACCATGACACTCAAAGGGTATGCTGACTAGATGCATGTGTGGAGGGAGAACCTGAGTGTCCCGGATGTGTGCTGCACACTCTGTGTCTATTGCGTAATCAGGTGAAAACGTAAGTCTGACTTTTCAAATGTGTGATTACTGGACAAATACATGAAAGAAATATAAATGATTAATTCTGATAAGACATACAAAACATAAAAATACTTTTTGTGCTTTATCTAGATTAAGCTTAATGTTTTTTTCTTATAAATTAAATGTAAAAGAAGCCTTTTTTAACAGATAAATAAAGAAGTGTGCCAGGGATCGTGCAGTAGCCTTTCGGCATATGGGTCACCTGCTCAACCCACTCAAAATGTGTTTTGATGGTTCTGATAGAGGATAATATACTAGGGTCATGCACTAGTATATTTGGATATTGGGTTGATAAGATCTTGGAACGTGGGACCATTTACTCAGTGTTTCCCTGACAAATAAGGATAAATGATACATTGTCTAACCTTTATTTCTCCCCTATTTAAAAACAAAGTGAAGGTGGTCTCCAGTGTGTATTTAGTATTATGCAATCTTTTTACCAAACAGGAATAATCTTAACTCTGACGTACACATTGGCAGTGTTTACATTTTGTAGTGTAATATGTGTGCCACCACACAAAGTCATGCCTTAACATTCAGTCATGATTTAACCCAAGTGTCTTGATCAAGATTGAGCATAGTAATATTCAGGTTATAGAAGAGGTAAAGCATGTTTTCAAATATTTATTTATGTGCCTTCTGGTAATTTTTTATAGCTGCCCACATGTTCTAATTTCAGATGCACCGTAGACTGGAGCCCGGCTGATGCTGAGGGTTAAAAACTTCTGACATTGCTGTATAAACCAATAATTTTTTTATATATGTGAATACATTGCTATAGACTTATTTTTATTAGAAGGGAAACTGATGTGTACTCCTGTGCAGAAAGTATTGTGGACAAATTTTTTAAAAGAATTGTAATAGAGGCCAGCAAAAGAAATCCATCCTTGTTAATGCTGTTTTGTCAAGTAAAATGAACTATCCATTAGTAACCTTTTCTGTGTGTGCAGGTGTGTATGTGTGTGAGCATTGTAACTTAGTCTCTTCAGCAGCACTTACTGCCCCCCTGTGCCAGAGCTGGGTTTCCTTTTGCGTTGCGTTCCTTGGTGCTTCTTTACTTTCCCACTCTTTCTCTCTGTTTACGCTCATTCTAACTCTGTGGGAGACTAGGCTTCTTCTAAAGGAGTCTTTGTACATGTTTGAGCGAGGAAAAGCGAGAGAGAGAGAGGGAAAGGGAAATGTTACGGTGAGACAAACAGCAAGCGAAAGAGAGAGGAGGATACTAGCTGCCTGTGTTAAGCCTGGCCAGGACCCAGTCCCACAGTTCCACAGAGCCCTGTGCTGTTTACCTTAAAAGACTTAGACTTAACAGGAAAATGCAAAAAGTCTCTCACAGTTACAGGTCTGTAAGTCTGCTCTTTCATCACTACACACAGTTTTAGGTGCGTATATAGTCAGAGATTTTCTAGTCAATAATTAGAAATGACGTGCACTGTGATTCCAAAAAGTGAAACATTCTCACTGCACTGGATAGTGAGTCAATGACTCTATGAACCCTTTGGGCGAGAGTTAGTTGATATGTGACGTAGCTGTTAATGGTTAACTTTAGCCAGGTTAGAGTCCACTCACTGTGCTATGTCCATGTGCAAACGTCCTTCATTTTGCTGTCTTTAAACTGGGCAGGGATAACGTCGAGAATACTGGATTGAACAACTTCGGAGTCTACAATTAAATGCTTACACTGATTCTTCGGGGTGTCTCCCGAATCCTTGGAACGAGAGTTAAACAGTCTGATATATAACACGTTCGGAACACTTAATCAGCACAAGGACTGTTTTTGATGTGAGTGGGATGTTTTTTCTTTTCTTATCCAAGGCTAATACTTGAGAGAGTGAGTGTGTGCTTAATCATATGGCACTTGTCATTGCTGAGAGAATGAACTGTTTCATTTCTGTCTAATCAGCTGTGTCTGTCAGGGCAAGTACAGTTTATGTTTAGCCGAGGTCAAACACACAAGAAGGAGCTTGTCATTGACATCTGTCACAGTGCTCACGAGGAGCTGTGTGGCTGGAGTATGTTTTGCATCTGCGTTTGTTTTTTTAATTTGTGATTTTCATAAAAGTATTTTAAAAAGATTCAATGATGCGTGGTCTGCACCCTGGCCCATTCAGTACTTTATGGCTTCCTTTATTTCTGTTAAGAAAAAAAAACCCAATAGAATTTCTAATTTTCTCAACGCTGCTACAGTTCTGTCAGCCCAATTTTGTATTTTGTATTACTGTTTATAACATTGTTGATTCATATGTTCAGATATGTTTATACATTCTCCTCAGGGGTGGAATAAAAATGGATGAGGGGTAGAGCAGGGCGATATGACCAAAAATATTTATCACGATATACATTTGAAAAATTTACGATAACGATATAAATGACGATATAATTGACACTAGACAAAATACTTTACAACTCCACAACTTTATTAGTGCAAAAAACCCCATCAATGTATTTTCACATAAACAAGCAGCTGTTTTTTATGTGCATTAAAGTTATATAAAAATGTAACAGTGCAAATTCCTTGCTGACAGTTTAACCAAAAGGCATTTCCAGTGGAAACTGGCCGACATATCCTCAGCATAACCATGTATAATATCCACAAAACTTAAAAAGAAGTTATACACACACAATACGGTAATATTATGTTGAAGCACAGTACGTATCACTCCGCAAGGCGCCTGCCTACGATGCCGTAATGCTCCGACAATCCATCAAGCGGTGCGGCTTCGTAGCTTAGCAAAGTTGTACTAAAACATTTGACAGATTTTCGAGCGCCGTGTACATAAAATCGTTTAGAGGTCAGTAAACACAACCATAAGTCATACATAAGGCACACGGGATTATAAGGGGCGCTGTCGATTTTCAGAAAAATCAAAGGATTGATTTTAAGTGTGTCGTATTTTCCAAACAACACGGTAATAACGACGGCCCACTAGCATGCTCTACCAAAAACAGTGCTTTGTTGTGTATCTGACGGACGAAAGCTAAACCAGTTCCACACCACTGAAGTTGCAGCATTTTTACAAACCAGTTCTGGTTCATCCGTTTCATTTAACGATCTGCTTTCGCTTTTCTCATTCTGCGTCACCGCCATGTGCGTATGTAAACATAGGCACTGCGCATGCGCGTTTTACCCATATTCTATCACGATATTTCATTTTCCTATCATTGCCCAACATTATACCGGTATTACCGTGAACGGTATGATATAGCCCAGCCCTAATGAGGGGTGTTGTTTCTGTCAAAGCAGGGATGTTAATTTGCCTTTGGAAAGCTGTTTGATAGCAGGCATTGATTGTAGGAGTGTAGGAGTGATATTAAAGAGGCAATAGACCAGATAGATTAAACAGCTCCAAAAGGCTCAGAGATCTTGATAACCGAAATAATCATCTTGGCGTGTCTGTAGTTTGTTATGTAATCTAAATGAAGGGAAGGTTATGTCATAATCAGAAACAGAAAGATAGAAAAAAAGTCAACATTAGTATTCCGGCTGCCCCTGATGTGGTAGCAGTGGTTTGTATTCATAGGCTGTCATGTTGTGCAACTGACTGAACTTCAGAAAAAACCCCAGTAATGATTCAGAGGAAACAGACATTTATAATATATAATTTGTTTGTATAAAAATAAATACGTCATTAGGAAATTTTAAAGTATTGTATCATATGAAAAGGATGGCCTGAAAAAGAAAAAATATTCTTATTTGTGTATCTCTCCAACTTTCATCACCAAGAAGGAGGATGAAGGCCCATGCCCCACCTCCACCACCGGCCCCTCAACCCGCTCCACGCCATATCTTCAGAACCACTACACCTGATGGGGGAGGGACATCAGGCATGGAGGCCAAGGAGAACATCCTGAGGGCCACAGTGGATTTACAGTTAACCCTGCCACAGGGCAACCAGATTTATCTGACTGAGGATGGAAGGTGAGAAAAATAGGCCCACACAAGCACATATCAAACATAGTTTTGATTTGTTCATTTTATTGTCACATGTGTCATGACCAAAAGTTTTGCCCATTAATCTCATATTATTTGACTATAAAATCTTCATATATCTGTAGCTATTTTATTATTTATATCTGGAAATACAAATCGAATCTAACCTTAGTTTATTGTTAGTTCTGCGATGTGATTCTATAGGTTGATCTTCATTCAGTCACCAGAAAAACTGTATGTTTGTTGCTCCTGTGCATGTTTTGTTCGCTGTGCCAGCGGGGCCTCGTTGGGGGGTTCCATTCCAATTTCCAACACAAGCTTTGTCCCAGAGAGTCAGTGGCTGACCTGCTAGTGCTCTCTGTCCCTAATGAGGCAATTGTCTCTAGGGCAGAAATTTGGGGATGTCTATCTTGTATAAAACAACAAGAGACTCTTTTAATAAATATAGAGAATGCATCACCATCAGATGCCTCTGTATGCTCATCACCAGAAAAACTATGTATCATATTATTGTCATGGAGGCTTTCTAACATGCAAAACTAGTATAATAGAAGAGGGGCCTGAAAGCTGAAGGCTCTGCCCCCCATTCCACTTTTAAATATTGCACAAACCACGGGTTGTTATGACACTATGAAGGTAAGACCTTGTATGACCTTCTATGTTTAATAGAAGATGGTCATATTATGATCAATGCTGCTTAAAACATCAGAACCTGTTGCTATGACTGTCACGATCCTGGGTCTTTTGACCCAGCGTTTTGAGTTTTAGTTTATGTTTAAGCTCTTCAGGTTTTCTAAGTTCATTTTTTATCATGCCTAGGTTGTTCTAGATCTTTGTTATTAGATTCCCCTTGTGTCTTCCACCCCTGTTAAGTCTCCCTTGCCCTTCATGTGTTTCATGTCTGTGTCTTACGTTGTCAAGTTCAGGTTGTCATGTCTGTGTCTTATGTTTCCTGTTTTATTTTGAAGAGGTCTTGTGTTCCTGTGTCTAGTATTACTCTTCCACTGTGACGTCGTTATGTTCATGTGTGTCAGCTGTTTCCTTCATGTGTTCCCACTTCTCTCATTAGCCTCCTGTGTGTATTTAGTCTGTGCCTTCTCATTCAGTCTTTGTCGGATCGTCTGCGTTTTCCCTTGCCATGTCCTGCTTTCAGGTTTTCCTCACCACATTGCCATGTTTAGCGTTTCCCTATGTTTTCTACTTGCAAGGGTTCTTCATGTTCTTCAACCTAAACCCCAGTTTAGGTTATTGCTTAGTTTGCATTGTTTTCGCCCTTTTATTTTGTACCGTTCTGCCTGCTTTAATAAACAGTTCATCATCAGTTAAGTTTGAGTTTGAGAATGTCTGCACCTGGGTCCTCTCTTCGCACGCCACGCAGTTTGCCTCGGCAAACTATGACAATGACAAAGGGGTAAACACAAATCATTCATACAAAGGCTCATTCACTATCTCCACCCTAAGGTCAAAGTGCAGACTCCTCATAGACTTATATCACCTGTTATATTCTATAGTGATAGTTAGTTAGTGATTAAATTCAAGGACTAAAAATAGCACATACAGGAATGTGCCAGCACATTGCAACATATAATTTTATCTTGTTTACAGTTATGGGATTGGGACTTTTTAGTTTTATGTTTTGTGAACTTAAAAGACAGACTGTCTCATTTAAACACATTCCAGTCATGACTATACCAGAGATGACGTAATTCTCTACTTTTAAAATAAGTGAAACAGTGGTTGAATAAAGATGTGGCATATCTTTGCATTCTTCTGATCTCATAAACTTCAGTTATCAATGTAAAGTTCCAGTCTTTGTTTGTTTTTTTACTTTCATTCCTGCCTTATTAATCCTGTGATTAAGGGAAGTTGTGCCTCACAAAGGACTCAGAAACTCTCAGAGGCTTTGCTCTAGTTGACGCACCTTTGCTGCTCTCTTAAAGCACAAACTTATTTTACAAAAGTCGAGTAGTCACGTTAAATAAACATGATCTCACTATTGACAAAATAAAACAAGCTTTAGGACATTGGCTATAATCAATCACCACGAGCAGGTTTATTTTGTAGGATTTAAAAATAGCGAAAAATGTGGTGCAGATATTGCACTAGGCATTTACAATGCAGGCATGATAGTATATGTTATTACTGAATTAATACTGTTGCTTAGGCAGTTAGTTACTTATTTAGTTTTTATCTGGTTGTGTGTTTTTGTTGTCATGCTCTTATTAATTTTATTATTACACCTAATATATTATTTTTATGACCGCAGTGTCACACTTCATGAATGATCTACATGCCCTGTGCACCCTCGTAATGTAATTTGTCACACTTTAAATATTTACGATAGGTACTTGAAACTACAGCTTAGTAATGCTTGACCATAACATGGTTAAAAATGACCCTATGTGAACCAGGGAGGTATATATTCAGTGCTAGAGTAAATACATAGAAAAAAATAGAGTAAATACTTAGAGATAGTCATTATGTTTTGGCATGTTTTGTATGAAATGAATCTCGAGAAGCACACCAGACACTGGGTCTGTTTTTGGTTTTAGTTGCAGTCTGCATCCATGTGTTAGTGATTGTCAATGGTGCTCTTTGTAGCAGTATCTCTGTCAGTTCTGTCATCTGATCTCTGTTCCCAGAAAACATTGGAGACTGTTTCTAGGTTTCTTTATGTGAGGATTGACAAGTAGTACTATAGGCCTCCACATGAGCACCACAATCCAAACAGGCACACAAAGCAATGGGCATAAGTGAATGACAGAGGTATTATTTTTTATGCCCAGTGCTTTGTCACTACCTTTTTTGTAAAGACTCTTAGATGGACTGCACAGGTGAAATCTTCAGCAACCACCTTACCTTTTATAGAGCATATGGACGCGCTCAGGTTTTAGTTCTACTTCACATACAGTATGTTATTTTTCAGTCAGAGTTTGGCAAAATTAAACAATAACCTGGATTTTTGTAGGGGTTTAAAATGGATAAGAACATTCTCAGAAAAAGGTGCTACTAATATACAATCAACCTCAAATGAATGAAAAATATTTGTACAGAAAGAATTAAGATGAAGGCAACGTTTTGATGTTCATATTTAAATCACTGCTGCTGTCATTGTATCTGTATTTTGTCTGTGGAAATGGCTTAGATCAAAATACCACCCATTGTTTCTAACAATTTGAAGTGCATCAAGTGAGAGTGTGGCATTGTTTCATTCCGTTCTCTTTACTTCAGCTAAGCTTCGAAGACTTTGTAACCCTAGCTTTTGTCCTGCCTCCCTTTCTTCTCTTCTCATCTCCTTCTGCATTTCTTTCTTAAACACACACACTCACACACACATACACACACACACTTTCCCTCTCACTCCTATTATCTCTCTCTTTCCCTCTCAGTAAAGCACTGATGGATCTGCTGGTCGAGCTGTGTAGTCGCTACCACCTGAATCCAGCTCTGCACACTTTGGAGGTTCTGTCTCCTGAGGGCCGGTCTTTGGGCTTCAAGCCCAACGCACTGTTGGGCTCCCTTAATGTGGCCTGTGTGCTTATCAAGGAAAAAGTGTTGGAGGAGAAAGTGGCGCGCAGACCAGCACCCAAAGTGCCAGAGGTGAGTTGCAGTGGATCCTGACACCTTGAGCCACCTCCTCTTTTGTCATATGTGCTTTATATGTTGGACTATACTGTTACAGCATATTTAAAACCTGCAAATGTTTTCTTTTTTATGCCTGGCTTGGATTTGTGTTGTTTTGATTGCACAAAGGGTTATCTCATGTTTTCACAAATCAAATTTGCATTCACTGCAAGTCTTATGTAATGCCTGTCCCTCTCTGCCTTTTATCACTGACCACTGGCAGAAAGCATGGCCAGTGAATCCTGTAAGGGCCATTTCTAAGGTAGGAAGCTGGTTGGTATTAAACTGGCCAGCATTTCGAAGTCCCTTATAGGAGTTTATAAACTGATTTTAAGTCTAGTGTGCTTTTTCGGCCTTACTGTCTGTCTGGATGTTTTATTCTATTCAGCATCAATCTCTTTCTCTCTGCCTTTTCTTGTCTTCGCCTTCACTCTCCTCCTACCGTTTGAATATTTGATGAGTACCTTACCTTTAGTTACCATGCATTATTTCTCTGCTCTTCTCAGGGCTCACTGGCTGCTCTCTCTCCCTTTGACCCCACCTGGCCATAAGCCAGAGGCTGACACTGTTTCAGACAGCACTGTCAGTCATTGGTCTTCTCTGTTTTATCTCACATCTTCTCATTATGTAACCAATTTCAACAGCTCAAATTAAATAGCTTGTTTCGATTGCCAGTGTATTGGATCCACCCAGTAGTCTAATATGTTAGCCCAGGAATAAAGTCTACGGTTATGGAAGATATCGTTCACACTGCTATTGAAATGTGTTTTGTTGATATGAATGGGGTGTTCAAAATGTTAGAAACAAAATTCAGTAAAATGCAAACATTTAAAATTAGTGTACTACCTATAAAATTGTCAGAAGTAAGGAATCACAATACTTTATTAATCCTTTAGGAAATTATGTAACTAAATTGATTAACTGAACAATAGTTAGCGATAAATAAACTGTTTGTCCTTTCCCGATGCACCAGAAAAACTACACGGAAATGGCTACCAGTAACAAATATGTCAGTTTTGCACCTTATTTTAATATTACATTATACTATCAGTTACCTGTTTTGGTTGCTAATTTGATTATTCTTGGTTAGGAAAAATTGCTTCAGTCACAAAGATGGGAAATTTATTTTTGTCTCCATTTAACCTTCCGATAGTCTCGAGTATTTCAACCATCTATCTAGTGACCATATTAGCAGAAACATTAAAATATACCCATGTCACAGGCTTAAAATACTGTTTATTTTGGAAAACCTATGACCATCAACCTGAACATTTTCATATATAATGGGTAAATTATAACAACTTAGCACCTCTTCCACAATTTGCTGATAAGCTTGGTACATTCACGAAAGAGGCTGCCAATAGTACTGTGGTAGAATTGTGCTTTCTTTCTTTTATTGTTATTTCTTTTTCTTTATTATTGCAGTGTCATCCTCTGTGTGTTCTCCTCTACTTTTTATATTTTTAAACCAAAATATGCTATTGTACATCAATCAGAAATATGACTATATTTAAATATATTTATATATATATGTATAAATATAAGTTAAGTATGTCTTTTAGGCTAGCATATTTTATCAGTCAGTTAACTTTGTTGTATTTTTTCCCTTAACTACATCATCCTTTTTCTTGACTTGATGATTCATCCTTGATTAGCTCTTAATGTCATCCAGCTGTTTGCATGTCTAATTTTCTCCATCATTTTCCCCTGTGTATCAGAAAACTGTGCGATTGATGGTGAACTATCATGGCAACCAGAAGGCCGTAGTACGGGTGAACCCCTTGATATCGCTCCAGGCTCTGATACCAGTCATCTGTGACAAGTGTGAGTTCGACCCTACACGTGTCCTGCTGCTGAAGGATAGCATCAGCCAACGAGAGTTACCGCTGGACAAAACTCTAGCAGAACTCGGGATCAAAGATCTCTACGTACATGATCAGAGGCTAGGTAAGCCTGACCTCATTTCTCTTTGCTCTTTGTGAAATATGTCAAATTTCTGTTAGTATTGTTTTCCCAGTAGCACGCAAGATGATACAGATCCTAAGCGATGATACTTTTTTCTTTTGATGCTTTTAATGTGGAAATATTTATTCATTAATCTGTGTAATGCTATAATGGAGAAGCTGCACAATCTCACAGTCAAACGTATATACATATCATATCACACACATATCACTAACCATATTTACATGGCTACAGTCTCTGTAATGGCTACATTGATCAGGAAACAGGAGAAGGAAGACAGGATGGCATTTTTTTTCTCTGGATTTGATTTTTAATAAAAGGTTTTTCCTCTCTGTTTTTCCATCGGTGAACCATGTCGGTCAGGCAAAATTTTATCTGGGGCTTGTATGGGAGGAACGCAGAGGGAAAAGGTGAATGGAAGATAAGAGTTGATAAGAACGTACTACCTTGTGACTGTAAATGTAACAGCAGTCAGCTACCTGTCATAATAAATAAAATAAATAAATAATGATAATGATAAAATGAACTTGAGCGACTTTAAAGTTATTAGGAGTTTACAGAGGTTTCACAGAAATGGAGCTAAGGTCTATTTTCAGAATCAGAATACGTTATTAATCCCTAAGGAAATTATGTTTACCAAATTATTTCCCAAAGGTTTCTACACAAACTGGAAGACTTGTTGCCACCACAGAAGTTGAAAGAATATATGTTTAAGGCACTACTGACAAGTTACCCCTCTGTTATTCTGTCTGTAGGTACAGGTTAGCATAGACGGGTTAGCATCCTATATTCAGTAGATACATCTGTTATAACTGTCTTTGAGAATAAATCTCAGTTGTTCAATTTTCACATTGTTTAGATAAACTCTTAATCGGGTTCCTTAATAATTGTATTTTGTTTTAGATGTCACTGAAATGTCTGTGCCATCTATAATGTTGCAAATCTTATATATCTAAGCAGACACAGATTGCCAGATTAGTTTCCTGAATGTGGCTAAAGTCTACAGTACTAGCACCGGTAACCCTCCTTCCTTCCAGGTTAGCGTTCACGCTCCTGTGCTGCATGTGGTTACACATCACTTTGGTTACGTGGTTATATGCCACTTTACTCTGACACCACAGACGTACAACTGCTCATCGTTTTCTTCATCAAAGTACTGTGCAGCCGTGCTGATTTTTGCATCTGTCAGCTGCTTGCTCTCCACCTTGCTCAAATGCACTATGTCTAAAACAGAGAGAAAGAGGGTTGGAGCCCTCTGTCCGTGCTGTAGCCCCAGTTTTTTGCAGGTCGCATAATAACATTAGGTGACTGCTGTTGTAGAAAAAGAGCGTTTAAAATTCTAGGGGACTTGTTAAGCACATACCTAAATCTTACACATTTCACCTCTATCTCCAGTCACTTTAAAGCAAGTGTCTGTACATATATTCAAAATTGTATTAACTTTTTAAAAGATAAAATAATGCTTTGCTCTGCTGAATAAAACTATCTGGTAAACATAGGATGTAACACTTAAGATGATGATGTGAAATTTAAGCAGACAAAGGATGTTAGCGTGGATACTGGTGTGTGCTTTGGCTTGCCCTGCTATTGTCTCACAGTATCTGCTGTTATCCTGTCCATACAACGGCTGAAATAGCGAGCTTTTATGAATCATGTACGGCCTTTGTATTAATACATAATTCATGTAGTATGAAGTTATGGTTGTTTACTGCGCGATTGTCCACACCCACTGGTATTTATAGTTAAAGGTCCTCTTGTGATCTCACAGTAAAAACGTGTATTTTATCACTTAAGTGATGTGACAAGGGAACAGTAGAACATTATGTCACTTTTATGGTCAAGCACTCTTGTGCAAGATTTTGGTAATCAACAAGGCCACCCAGTTTCCCTTTAAACGTTTCTTTCTTAGCATTTGGTATGTTAAAAGGTTTTTGGTAAATTGTAGGGTTCGAATCCTTTCCAAATCACCGCGTCATGTTTTCAGTTACATTTACACAGTCCTACCCTTTTGAACATAGTAGTAATGTAGTTTACTTTCATTATTATGAGGCAATTATACAAATGACTTCCTCTTGTGAATCAGTAGTTACATAGCGCATCGGCTGTGCTGTGACACGAAAGCACAAGCACAGCCGCTCTGTCATGTAGATGAGTTATCCATTAATGACGTTTGTGTTTTTAAACTTTATCATGTTTTACAGCTTTCCAGCCTAAAATGGCTTCTGCCCCTGCACTTAACTACACAGGTATTAGACGTATATATTGTGTGTCTTAGCCTTGGCACCATTCAAATACATGTGGTTGTTTAACCCAATGTATCGCTGCTTGCTTATTAACCCTGCGTTGTTGCTGCATTGGATATTAACCATTAACCAGCCATATTAAAAGAAATCATTTGTTGCTTTATGTACTTTTTTTTAACCTGCGTGAACATCGATGCATACAATTTTTAAAGGCTTTATTAATAAATTGGCTTGCTTCTGCCTCTTTTCAGAACCCAAATTATGAGTATTAGCCCTTAAATGTTTGATAGTTAGTTTACCTTCCCTCTCAGTCCTTGAGTCTGTAGATTTATCACGACACATTCTTACTTACTGCTTAGCTGATTATAAAAGTTGGGTAGAGGTGAACCTGAGGAAAAGCAAAGCTGCAGCTCCCTCTTCTGAGCAAAACTGGAAGGTTAATTTATTGCTTTTAAAACAAAGGTATCTGTTTGGAGTAATATTTAGAGTTGACTGACTGTTAAAAAAAACACTATTTTTTTCTGTTAACCCTATAACCATATGTTAACCTTTTCGTTAACCTTTGCATGCAGAAAAAACCATGTCTTTCCCTTTTTCTTTCCTCCCTTTCTTTAATTATAAGGTGCTTACATTACTTTCCTCCTGCTCTTGTTTTACTTTTTTAGACTTTGTTCGCTCCAGTACTGGCAGTTTGGACAGACCAGAAAAAAAAGGCCTCCTGGGTATCTTCCAGTTCAACAGGAGGAAATCCAAGGTGAGACTCATTCCTGGGCAATATGTGTGCAGGAAGTATGTTTGAATTATTAAATAAGAAAACAGCATGGACATCATTATAATTCTGCCCTTAGTTTTTGCATTTAATTATTTATACAAGTATCATTAGAAAAATAATAGTGTGAAGTAATTTACAAACTAACCTTTAGCATCATACTTATAGGCCATTCATACTTAACTGATAGCTGAGGCAAGCTAAATGCATGGCTGAATAGTTTGATGCTGCATGTTAGTTGTGCCTTCCGTTTGCAGACAGAGACAACATCTGTGGACATGGATGACTTTGATGATAAAATAATCCAAAACACTGACACACAATCCTGTGTAAGTACGTCTAACAATTTTTACAATGTCCAGAAGGGAAATAAAGCTCTCATCTTAACTTGTTACTGAAGCCGTGCAATCCCATACGGTGTTCCAGTTATTCTGTATAACTGGAACATAATACAGACTGCTTCTATGGACAGACTGCTGTTTGTGCAAACTGGGAACATACCTTGGAGCCAGTGGCTTTTACCTTAAGTTGGGTGCATTATCATTGCTTTATTTTTTTAATATAAGGGATTTTCAAAAAATGTATCAAAATAAACAGGAGGACTTTAGCTTTGAAGCCCTGCGACAGACTGGCGATCTGTCCAGGGTGTACCCCGCCTCTCGCCCTATGACAGCTGGGATAGGCTCCAGCGCCCCGGCGACCCTGAAAAGGATGAGCGGAAGCGAACGGATGGATGGACTTTAGCTTTGAAACAAGCATTAGCAATAGAGCAGCACTGCTAGTACTATGCCATCTGTGTCCTTTGTCATCACCTTTAGTGCTTGATTTTGGATTGCATTTAACATTTTACTGACTTACACAGTTAAGACTATTGAAAGCTTCCTGTTGGTGCCTCGGGGTAAATTGTCCTGCACGAGTTATATGTACAAGATAAATGTGGATGTAAGTTGCCTTGTTATGTGCAATAAAACTGTCTTTTGACAAGGGCATATGTTGTGCCTGGTATTTGCATGAGTAGATAACAAGGACCCATGGCAAGTTTGTGTTTAAGACCCACAGTCACAGTAATCCATCCTTGCCTGTGTCACCAAAGCCTGTCACTTTGGCCGATAATTTATTCGTTTTAATGGAAATTTTTAGTTATTTCAGCTTTAAAAAGTAGTTCTGCAATAGAAACCCAACATTCCCTTATGACCAACAACTTGATGACACTGCAGGAAAACAAAAAAACTTTTAGCAGGAATAAATCTCCTGTAGATCCAGGCTTACAGACAGGAGAAATCTAATACAGAACCAGTTGGGGTGAAGGGAAGTAGAAGGAAAAGACAAAAGAGGAGCAGAGAGAATGAAGACCAAGCACAAACTATGGTGCAGAGAGACTAGATTATTTCAATGCAGTAATGTGTGCCGATGTCCTCCAGAGGGCAGTCATTCTATAAGATTAGTCAGCAGACTCTCAAGCATCTGTTTATCACAGGTCTTTATCACTGCAGTTCATAACACCATTACATTTTCTTTTAAGCAACCATCATCCATCTCTTTACTTCTGCATCTGAGCACTAATTTGGTAGTATGTATCCAATTTGGATACATATACACACATATATATCTAAAATCAGCTCAAATGTTTATATATATATATATATATATATACACACACACACATTTGAGCTGATTTTAGAATCTGAATATGATAAACATCAGTAACATAATGTAAAAGATTTTCCTCCAAGATTTCTCTGCAGTATATCCAGATGCACATTTAGACGCTGCATTTAGCAGCACTGAAGCTGTTATAGCTATAACTAAATCAATGGCATTTGATTACATTAGCCTGCCTGCCTCCCTCCTATTCAGTACACTGCTCCTCTAAGCTTGCCCTTGACTCCACCCTTCCAACTTTGTGTCTACTGCTTAATACTGAGCATTATTAACATTATCTTCTTCTTTTCCTTTTCCAGCCAGTCCTCTTTGTCCTTTTTTATTCTCTTCGTTATCTTTAATTATTTCTTAAAGATTTTGCATATAGGGATCACAGTGTAATTAAAAGGAAAAAAGTCAGCAGACTATGAATTAAACATCAAAACTGTTATAGACACAGCACAACTCATTTACTTTGCTGAAACACTGAAAAGTATGAAAGACAGTTTTGTTGGATTGATTAATAATTCTTTTTTTTTTCTACTGGACTTTAATGCAGCTTTTTTTTCCCTATGATTGTTTCTCAGCCTGGGCAGTTTTTAGACCACACGCATGCATTTGCACACACCAGAAAACACACACCCACAGAGTGTTATCAACCCAAAGGCATCACATTACCCTACCTTGGCTACATTAGCACTAAAAGCCCAGCCTCTTATCTCTAATTGTTCATTAGGGGCTAAACTACTGTGTGTGTCAGTGTAAGTGTGTGTGGTCATAAAACATTAGCATGGTCAAATAGCGTTATGTCTGGGAAGACCTCATTCTAAAGCAAACTCACTTCTAAAAGTTTTTTTTAAAATATGCAGTATTTATTTGTTCTTAGCTTTTTAGGGAGTGGCATTGCTTAAGTTCCTCTAATACAGTGGTTCTCAAACTTTTTTTGCTAGGCCCCCCTTTGTTTTACAAGAAAAATGTTCGCGCTGGTTGGTTTGGAAACATCTTTGGCGATGCTTCATCTCCTGCTTTGCGTTTGTGTGGAAGCCCCGTCAAAAACCTGTCAATTATGCTAGCGGTGTCCAAGCGTTTTTTTTTTTTCATACTGCTCTTAGATCCACTTGCCACTGATCATTGTTCTTTAAGTTGCATCCTTCTCCCATATGCTCTTCCAATACTGCTCCGTCTCCAGCCTTGGTGACGCTGTTCTTATATTGTTCCCTTGCTATTGAGAGTACACCTTGGATGTGTCCGTGGAGAACAGCTGGTTTATTCTCCTGCCTTCTATCTCTCTGCTATACCTTTTCAAGTGGTTAGCCAAGGCTGTGAGTATTTGCTTGGCAGTTTCTAAGGCGTCAGATATGGGCAGCTTGCTGTTTGCAGTAGGAATTTTAGTGCTGCATTCACATCTTCTAGTAGACTTTCAGAGGGTACTTCATGTAGTCTTGGTAACCAACTACAGAGGGTCCAGGTTTCCAGTTTCACCATGATCCTCTCGTTCTGGTCAGCTACGCTCGCACTCAGTGCTCCTTCTTCCATCGTACTTGGGGCCTGGTACTCAATCTCGGGTGGAGGTAATATCTCCCGCCTGACCTGTTGTCCTGGCTCTCCCTTGCCATAGCATTTGTGCTATATACCTTATGGATCTCTAGCTGTGAAAGCAGTTCCTTCTACTCAATGTTGGAACACCAAGCTATTAGTTGTTTCTCTGTCAGTCTGCTGGGTATCGAAGGTTCCATAGGTCCCACATCCTAGTCAAGTAACCTCTTCTGCTGGAAACGGAGTAGTATTCCAACAGGGCCCTGTTCTTATTTCCTTCAAGCTCGGGTCCTACCAGAGCAATTGGAGCTTGAGGGTCCTGTGCAGTATCTTAGCTGCTCCTAGGACTGCGCTCTTCTGGACAGAGATCGCAGATGTTGTTCCTGAGATCTGCTGGAGCCACTCGCCTAGCTTGGGAGTCACTGCACCTAGTGCTCCAATTACCACTGGGACCACTGTTACCTTCACCCTCCACATCTTCTCGAGCTCTTCTCTGAGCCTTTGGTATATCTTCAGCTTCTTGTGTTCCTTCTTCCTGATGTTGCTGTCATTCGGTATCACTACGTCTATCACTACAGCCGTCTTCTTCTGCTTGTCTATCACTACCTCGTCCGGTTGGTTAGCCACCATTTTGTCCATCTGTATCTGGAAGTCCCACAGGATCTTAGCTCAGTTATTCTCGACCACCCTAAGAGGCGTCTCCCATTTTGATCTCGTATACTTCTTAATATACAATACAATACAATACAATACAGGTTTATTTGTATAGCACATTTAAAACCAAGGGTATACCAAAGTGCTTCACAATAACACAATAAACAGTTAATGATAACAAAACCAGTAAGTCATTAAAACAAATTAGATTAAATGAAAGACAGAAGCATTAAAAGATAGAAGTAGGGAAAATTCAGATTATCCAGAAAATGTCAAAATGAATAATGATACAGCAATTAGTGAGAGGTAAAGTTTAGCATGTCGGAAATACCAGTTTGAATAAATACGTTTTCAAGCGTGCTTTAAAAGATTGAATGGAGTCGGAGGCACACATGGTAACGGGGAGACTATTCCAGAGATTTGGTGCAACAGAGACAAAGGCCCGATCACCCCTAGTCTTCAGGCGGTGCCTAGGTTGAGTCAGGAGTAGCTGACCAGATGATCGTAAGGCACAGCTAGGAACATACAAACTGAGGAGGTCAGCGTATATTTCTGTATACTATGCCGGCCACTTGGTTATGGCGTTCCATTGATGCCCTGCCTACTAGCATATTGCACCGTGCTGTTAAGTGCTGGATTG